TTTAGTGTTATAATGACACCCAGAGCTTCAAACCCATCGTGAACAAGTTTAAGCAGTATTTTTAGATCCAATAGTTTAAATTTACTTGCTATGATCACAATAGAAACTAACTGACGTGAAAAAGCAAAACATATAGGGTGTGCGAGGTATACTTTAAACTTGAAATTTGAAGTTTTGCATAATTTTGACATTTTCTACAGAAAAGAAAGTGTCAAGGACGGATAATAAATTCTGACTAACTTTGAAGGCATTATATCACTTTTGCAATGTAATTCCAAAAAACAATTTCGAGGTTTTTTTTGTCATCTATTTTTTCAGAAAGTTAAGTCATAATGTGTAAACCTATGAAACAATTGCTTTCTCAATTTCTTGATATTTGCTGCCATCAACAGGCCCTAAAAGAATAATTATTTCTACTTGCTAACATTTCGGACGAATTTTTACTCGTGTACGGGTGTCCCCAAATCATATCCTTTTTAGATGATGCCACTTACTGTATGATCGGTTTTATAAAGTAAACAAATTAAATACTTACCTTTATTGAATTGCGAAATTCAAAGGAGACTACAAATTCGCTGGGTGATTGATTCGGAGACACTCTGTATACAAGTAAAAATTCATCCAAAATGTTAGCAAATAAAAATAATTATTCTTTTAGGACCTGTTGATGGCAGCAAATATCAAGAAATTGAGGAAACAATTGTTTTATAGGTTTACAAATTATAACGTATAACTTATTGAAAAAAATGGATGACAAAAAAAACCTCGCAAATATTTCTTGGAATTACATTGGAGAAGTGATATTAAGCCTTCAAAGTAACTCAAAATTTATTTTCCTACCTTGACACTTTCTTTTCTGAAGAAAATGGCAAAATTATGCAAAACCAGAAATTTCAAGTTTAAAGTATCCTCGCACGCACTGTATGTTTTGTATAAAGCTTTTTTACGCCAGTTAGTTTTAATTATGACCATAGCAAGTAACTAGCGGATCCTAAGACACTGCTTAAACTTGTTCACGATGTGTGTGTCAATATAACACTGAATTTGCATTATTCTATAAACAAAAAAAGATATACGAAAAAATCTAAAAATGGTTCGAGGGATGAACATAATAATTATTCGGGTATGCCTAGAAAAAATAAATAAAAATAATTGTAGAAATGGGGTGGCAACAAAAGTTTCGAATTTTTACCGCACTTTCTATATCACCCTGTATAAAAAAAACACACAAATTCTATATTTTTCCGTGTGAAGCAGATTATTAACAAGGAATCGCTTTCAAAAATAGTGAAAACGGCATATTTTTTGGTTAATTTATAAAAAAGTTATTGCGTCTCAAAAATTGGTGAAATTTATGCTTATAACGAACCTATTGTTGAGTAGTTTATTTTGAACTGGGACAACACCGTCCCGTTGTAACAATCTAATCATTGGAGGAATTTGAAGTCCGAAGTATGAGATCTGACGAGGTTACTTGACGTGGTTACTTGACATGAGGAAAATGAGAGCTCTCAGTAAAAATTCAAGTTGTGCTGAAAGTCAAGCTAAAGTTGGTACACGCAGAAAACTGTTCCCCCTTAATAGGCAAGAATACACCAACTTAAGTTTGAACCGCAGAAACTTTAGAAGCAGGAAACTGTTTCAAATCATACGGAATGCGACTTTTCCAAACTTAAGTTGGGTAAATTATGCACAAGATGACTACACCGCAGGGGGTCTCCAGGGATGAACCTGCAAATTTTATAAGTAATCATCAGTTTATCAAATATCAGTTAAGGCTGGTTTTGCTGTGATTTTTGTCTTATTGATTTCAAAAGTTTTCAATATAACTCTAAAAATTGTGAAAATATCTATCAGACAATGCTTTTGTTTTGTGAACCAGCCCATATGGACACTCCCCTCTAGCCATTACCTTTTTTAGACGTAGAATGGTTTACTAATCCACAGCCCTAGGGCTTCCTGATAGTTTTTGTAAAATTTTCATAGGTAAACTATGTATTTATAAAATATGAACTTCTGCTCTCTTTGAATATTATGGAAGCAATTTGCAAAAGCTGGAGCTACGCATAAATTTAACTTCTTTTTTTTTGTGATGGATTATAAAAATCCATATAGGCAACTTTTGTGTTCACAAGTTTCCTCTACATGGGTTCTGGAAGTGGACTTAACTCAGAAAGACGATCACGAAGGAGAAAGTTTCAAATTCAATACCATAGCTGAACGAGTATGAGATGTGTAACCGTCGCAACAGATATTGCCCTCAATAACAATGAGTTTACCTGCAGGGTCTCTCATGCATGCGGACCGAGTCCAGCAATGGAAGTGATAGAGAATTATGAAACAAACTTTCTCCTGTAGCAGCGCTTACCAGGTAAGAATAATTAGAATACCTACATTTATTTTATGTGAAACGTAAACCTCTCTCATTTGATGTTCCAGTTCCTGATTACAATGTTTGTCAACAAGTAAGGAAATTTTCGTCTAACTTAAATTTTTTTTTTCAATAACTATTATTTTCGGAAAAAAATGTTCAGATATAAGAGGGAAGTTTCAAACTGATACCTTTCTTCCACACCATTGTGATCGACATTATTGAAGATGACGTAATTCCTGTTTTGAAATAGTTATCTAGCTGAACTATCGGTTTTTTCCTAACAAGAATTCATGGTTATTTTACTATTTTTAACCAGGCGAACATCTTCCGGCAATTTCACCATTGGGCTTTGAGCGTTAGACCATTGGGCTGATACAATTTTTAAATACTGATCTACTTACCAACATTAATATTGCTACATTTGGCTTTGGCTTGATCTGAATGATTTTCTCTTTTCAGTTTGCTAGTCCACAAGTTCTAATGGAAATACCTGCTATAAGTGGATCCTAGTCAAGGCCCTTTGAAATGGACCAAAGCAGAGAACAAATCACCAAAGAACCAAGGATGGCCGTTCAGAATCCGAATTTGAGAAGGGAGGACATATGCGACTGGGAAATCAAGGTCAGTAGGAATGTTTCTTGAGTGAAAATTTCATTACTGACTTAGAGCCATTGTACTTTAAACATATTGTTAAGATACAAAGTTAGTTCTTATTTTTTATGACTAAGCTAGAGTCAAATCCGTCAAAAAAAAAAATTGATATTCTCAAATTAAATTCAATATCTAACCAAACTTTGCGAATAAATAGATTCATTTATTGGTTCGATTATTACGTCGTACGAAAACTGCCCAGTAGACAATCTAGAGACACGAAGAATATTCTAGAGTTTGAAATGATTCCGGGATAGATTAACCAGAGAATTAAAATAAACTATGCACACCAAAGACACACAATATAAGGTGAAATTAAAGACAAACAACCGATTTGGTTCGGAAATGTAAAAATATTGGCAGATACGAAAATACCCAAGCAAACTATCGAGTGGAAGCCAGGAAGACGCGAATGTCCTAGAATAAACGGTAGAAGTAGTGTAGGCCAGAAAATGTGAGATAGGCCTCCTCCAAGCCAAGATTGACAGTGATGGTTGTATGTGTAGTAGCGCGACTGCCACATTACCGCCACAGTTTTTACCGCTCGTTAGAACATCAATCGCCGGTTTCGACGGACTATATTTCGTTCTCACAGTACATCGCTATTTTTGATAATCTTCTGAATGTTCATGTTGTTCTAAAAGGGAAAGATAGAGGAGGGCAACGCAATGGGAGCTTGTTTTCCTTTTTTGATAAAATACCCCGTTACGACGCTCCGCCTTGTTGTTTCCTGAATTCGACATGATGATTGTGTCGATACCTATTTGCCACACCATTCTGACCCAGATTATGTTTATGAGGTAATTCCTATTTGGAATAGTGAAAGAGCGGACTTATCGTTTTTCCCTATCGACAGTAGCTGCTTCTTTCGCTATTTTGAACTAGGATAACACCGTCCCGTTGGAACCTCAATCTATCATTGGAGAAATTTTAAGTCCGAAGTATGGGAACTGACGCCAACATATAGGTACCTATCGACAGGTACCTATTTGCCCCACCATTCTGAACGAGATTATGGTGATGAGGTAATTCCTATTTGAAATAGAGAGTGACCGGATTTGTCGTTTCTCCCCTTTCGATCATATCTGCGTGTTTCACTATTTTGAACTAGGATAACACCGTCCCGTTGGAACTTCAATCTATCATTGATGGAGGAATTTTAAGTCCGAAGTATGGGAACTGACGAAGTTACTTGGAATGAGGAAAACTAACTCTCAGAAAAAAATCAAGTTTTCCCGAAAGCCAAGCTAGAGTTCGTACACGCAGAAAACTGCACCGTAAAAAAAATTGAGTGAAAATCGACTCAAAATTTAACCCCACACCAGGGTTCGGGGGGTTCGAGGGGTTCGAGCTAGTTCCATATCGGGTTCAAACTGAGCGGAGCGAATACGAATCCCAGGGGAAAGGGGGTGTCCTTCGCGGATTTTGCACAGGGAACCGATAGGGGCATTGCACCCCTTAAATCGCGAGCATCCTCACATTTCCAAGACTGCAAGATATCCCGGCAATGATCGGAATGTGCTGCCACTGGCTGCATCCTCACGTGGTGATCCTGTTTGAAAACTAAATCTTGCGGATCTAGAGCGGAAACTCGATGAACATTTCCCCAGCCCAACTGTCGTGTCGTGGTTAAGGGCCTGCACTGGGGATAACGGCGCCGGTTTGTTGGGCTACTACGGTTGCACTCAAACCGACAAACCAACATAGGTGCTGATTGTGGTCATGTCTCGCAGGCACTTATGGGGGGGCCTTAGCTTAACCGCCCGGGCCGCGTGGATGAAGCACCACTATAAAAACTTCCTCAATCCCAAGGTATCGTGCGCGCTAAAGGGATAAATGGCCAGAGAGCATTCTGGTCCTTAGCGGCAAACCTCGGGGAACCGGGCGCACACCGTTGTATCAATGCCTTCCAGCTGTGAGTGGCAGCAACTGGTGACGACCAGACCTCATATACTCGTGGGAATCAAAATGAATAATGAAAACCCAAACAAAAAAAAACAAGTGTGAGGGCGAGTCGCAAGACCTGCCCGACACAAAAAACGAGGGAACTCCAGCAGGACCCTCATTTGTAGCCTCGACTGAACAGGGAACCTCACAGGGACCCAGCTCAGACAGGCTAAGAGATGCTCCTCCAGGAGACAAGGAACCGAAAGGTACCTTAGACGTGAAGGGCCTCTCGAAAAGCCTGAAAAAGATCAGGGTAAAAAGGTCCAACATATGTGGGGCCGAACGCAGAAGACGGAGGAAGGCAAAGTCGCATGAGACTTCCCAACAAGACTCCGTCTCAATGCCGGTATCCGGAGGCTCCCACACAGGTGCCTCAGGACCGCAGCTCAAGAAAGGTGGGGAGGTTAATCGGGGCAACAAGCCTGTTAACCAGGACGCCGCACTGTACCTCAGGGCTCTCGCAAGGGTGCACAGACGCCGGCCAAAGACAATCCATCAACCCAAAATGTAGCCAAGGGGCCCCTACCCAACAAAAGGTTGAGTTCCCCAGGTGCCACACCACCAGGAGGGCATCAGACCAAACGTCCAAGGACCGCGACAAGCAATCTTGGACGGGTCGAGTACTCCCAAGTGGTGAAGGAGGACATCTCCCTGCAGGTGGTGGTGACCCGGGACGGCCATGCCGATACTGACCTCACCAATGACCGCCTGCTGGAAATCCTGGACTCCATCGGTGAGGCTGTGACCGAAGCCGCCACGGGCAGCGGCACAGCACTCCAATTTGAGTCGGAGAGGCTGTGGAGAGGACAACTCCTTGTCACAGCAGCGAATCGAGCTTCAAGGGACTGGTTGCTCAGGAAATTACCCAATCTAAGACCCTAGGGCAACGCCGTCCAACATATAGCGGTGGATCCAGCCAGGTACAGGTTCAAAAAGGCCTTGATCTGGAGCCCTGGAAAAAAACACGAACCCAACGAGGATACGCTGAGGGCCCTGAAGAAACAAAACCCTGGGCTCGAATGTACCCGCTGGAAAGTGTAGGAAAGACGAGAGGAACCGAACGGTCTCCGGCTCGTCGTGGGCATGGATGATGCATGTTGTCCACCTTGGTAGAGTTAACTCTCAGCTCTACTACAGTGCTACGAGGGCTCAGGTGACGATGAAGCCCTCTGGCCAGCAGGGAATCCCTGAGACTCCCAGCACAGCAGGGAACGACGCGAACCTGCGGACGGAAGGGGCACCCCCAAACAAGGAGCCTGATCGGGAACAGGCAATGGACCTGAATCAGGAACCTGAAGGGGGAGAGCCCAAGAACGATGCCGATACCGTCGAACAGGAGGACGGTAGCTCAGGATAATGCCTGTAAATTTTTTACAGGCCAACCTGCAGCACGGGAGGGCTCCTTCGGCACTCCTGTGTAGGAGAATGGCTAATGCCAACACATGCGTAGCTCTGATCCAAGAACCCTGAGTATATAAGGGTGCCATCAGAGGCCTGGGAGGAGGTGGAGGAACGGCCTACTATTGCACCTCCACGGAAAAGCCCAGGGACTGCATCTACGCTAAAGGCGTGGAGGTGCTGCCTATGCTGGGTACGTTCACTAGGGACCTTGTGGCGATAAAAGTCTCTATAGATATCCAAGGTCACAAAGGTGATGTCGTTATCTGCTCTGCTTACTTCCCACAGGACATGGCGAGCCCTCCTAGGGAGATCGTCGCGCTCGTGGAGAAGTGCAGAGCGTCGAAACTACCGGTGATCATTGGCTGTGACTCAAACTCCCACAACACGGTGTGGGGCAGTGAGAACATCAACCCCAGAGGTAGGGCTCGCTCTTCTCAAGTATCTATACTCGAACGGCCTGGATATTGTTAATAGAGGGTCAGTGCCCACCTTTTTCACAACAGGGCGACAGTCAGTCATAGATCTGACTCTACGCAGCAAAGAACTTTGCCTAAATATTAGCGAATGGAGGGTGTCTCTGGAAGACTCTCTGTTAGACCACAGGCACATTCTATTCAAAATCGAGGAAATGACTAAAGATCCAGAAACGGGACGCAGAAACCCCAGACATGCCGACTGGAACACCTATAGGGAGGAGCTAGCTGGCAGACTGGGGCTGATGCAGCCCCGTCGGTCGCTTTGATGTAATAAGTCAGATTGAGACGGCAGTCAACTGCCTCAATGAAGCCATCAAAGGGACTACAAAAAGGCCCTGAGGATCTTACAGAGGGACACGTGAAGGGCCCACTGTGATGGAATTAACAGTGGGTCAGCATCCAGACTCTGCAAAGTCCTAAAAAAAGACACATGCACGAAGATAGGGGCGTTAGCTGTGCCAGGAGGGGGATACACCACCTCCGCGACAGAGACGTTGGACCTCCTCCTGGCGACACACTTCCCTGGATCACGCATGAATCCTCAAAGGACCAGGGATGCTATGCGCGTGGCGGGTCCTAAGCCTGATTATAAGCTGGCGTCCAAGGTCATCACATATGAAAATGTGAAATGGGCACCTTCTCGGTCAAATCGCCAGGTGAAGATGGGGTGTTTCCGGGGATGCTACAAAGGGCCCCTGATAGCCTATATCTCCTAATCTTGGCTATTTTTAGAAACTGCCTAGCTCTGGGCTACATACAGAGCAGTCAGAGTAGTGATCATCCCCAATCCGGGAAAGTCGGACTACCTGCAGGTGAAATCGTTGCGCCCAATCAGCCTTACCAGCTTCATGTTAAAGGCGATGGAACGAGTGGTAGACCGGCACATCAGAGAAGGAGGCACTGGTGCAATTTCCCTTGCACCATAATCAGTATGCCTACCAGGCGGGCAAGTCTACGGAGACGGCGCTGCACCACCTAGTTGACAGAGTGGAGGGAGCGCTGGACCGAGGACAGTGTACCCTGGGAGTCTTCTTGGATACAGAAGGTGCATTTGACAATACGTCCTTCGCTAGCTGTGGGCAGGCGTGGCACTCACCAGTCCGTAGTGGAATGGGCCATGCTGTCAAGACGCACAGTTAGAGCAACAATCAACAACGAACCCGCAGAAGCCGAGGTAGCCATGGGCTGCCCTTAGGGAGGGGTGCTGTCACCACTCCTTTGGTGTCTTGTAGTGGACGGACTCCTGCGGGAATTGAACGAAGCGGGATATCACACTCAGGCCTATGCCGACGACCTGGTCATTCTTCTGATGGGCCAGACCACGGAACGGCTGGGCAGACCGATGTCCCAGGCCCTAGGCCTGGTGGAACGTTGTTGTCGGGCAGAGGGCCTGAACGTGAACCCGGACAAAGCCGAGATGGTAATTTTCACAAGGAAAAGGAGGCCGGGACAAATACCCGAGGTCAACCTTTCCGGTCGTAGGCTTAGACCCTCTGGGTCAGTGAAATACTTGGGGATTACCATAGATTCAAAGCTGACCTGGAGGGAGCACCTAAGTAGTAAAGTCAAGAAAGCCAACAACGCTCTATGGGCATGTAAAAGAGCCTTTGGCAACACGTGTGGCCTGGAACCCAAAATCCCGCATTGGATATACACGGGAATCATACGACTCATTATCACTTACGGTGCCATCATATGGTGGCCCGGTACAAAGACGGCCAAGGCCAGGGCTCTGCTAGACAGTGTCCAGAAACTTGCCTGCATTGGGATTACTGGTGCTATGAGGACGGCCCCGACCCAAGCTATTGAAAGGCTGGTCGGGCTACCACCTCTTCACCTATTTCTGGAAAACGAAGCCCTGAGGTCGGAATACAGGCTGCAGGGACTTGGACAACTGAGGGACAATAAATGTCTCCGGGGACATGTAAGCATTTGGCGAGAGGCAACGCAAAGCTGCCCAGCCCTGCTGATGAAACGGGATAAGACAACCAACCAACTCCACATGGTTGGTTGCTCAAATTCTCCTATCCCAGTAGGGATGAGTGGGGGAACACAGCAGACACGCCGCGGCCCGCCAACCAAGTAGTCTGGTTCACAGACGGCTCAAAGATGGGCAGCAGACAGGGGCGGGCGTCTACGGGGAAACCACGAGCGCTAGGTTATCCTATGCCCTTGGCTCGTACGCATCCGTCTTTCAGGCAGAGATCTATGTCATCCTAAAATGTGGTCACGGAAACCTCCAACATGCCTTCACAAATAAGGATATTTATGTCTACTCTGACAGCAGAGCGGCACTGCAGGCACTGTCATCCGAAAGAGTGGACTCAGCGATAGTGGCAGATTGTAAAACTACGCTGTGCACTAGAGCCAGACACAACAGGGTCAACCTCGTATGGGTACCGGGACATTCCAATGTCCGAGGCAACGAAGAGGCTGACCTTCTGGGCGAGGAAAGGCTCGGCAGACTCAGTAATGGGTCCTGAACCAGTAATAGGCCTGTCATACTCGACAGCAGTGGCACTTCTAAAGAAGGCAATGCCTCGCAAAGCCGGGGAGCTCTGGAGGAGCTGCAGCGGAATGAGGCAGGCCAAACTGCTAATGGGAACCAGGAAGCCTCTCGCTTGGCTTCCTGGTTCCCAAGGTTATCCTGGAGCTTGGGAGGAAGGACATCAAATTGCTGACAGGACTCCTCACCGGACACTGTCAGCTCAACAGACATCTGCACGTGATGGAGATCGTAGATGACCCTCAGTGCAGATTCTGTCTGGAGGATGAAGAAACCTCTATCCATGTCCTTACCGAATGTCTAGCTATTGCCAGGATCAGAATGGTGTACTTCGGCAGACACGTTATTGACCCTGAAGACATAAGAAAGATTAAGCCCCGAAAGCTCTGTGCATTAAACAAAAGTGGGCGCACAACGGGCCCGTACAGGCGGCCTACATGCAATGAATGTACATTCACCCATGGAAAGGGGGATTAAAAAAAGTCCACACCGAATTGTGTGAAAAATTAACACAGTTTTCTCGAGTATCTTCAAATTAAACCAAAAAATTAACACAAAAATTAGTAAAATTTACTCAATTATAAGTATTTAACACGTTCGCTGCCAAGTACGAGTTAACTCGTAGTAGTCAATCTTATTACAGGTGCCAGCTACGAGATGACTCGTATTTTGCATTGTGTCATTCAAAGTCAAATACGAGTATATTCGTTGTAAATACAGGTTAATGGGGGTGTCTGGCCTACGGGACATGTATAAGAATATCACACAGACATGATTGAACAAAAAAAAAATTTTTTTTCAAACATGCTAGTCCCTTGGTATGGTATGGAGTATGGTATTTTTTTGCAAAAATATGGGTCAGGTACTACTTTGGATGAATATCTTATGTTATTTAGACCTATTCCGATGATAAAATATAGTTTTTCAACATTGGCATTTTGGACCCGATCAACCGAAATCTCTCTGGCAGCGAACGTGTTAATTGAACTAAATTATCAATCTTGAGTAAAACGTCACTCAAAAATGTAGTAAAATTAGGTACTTCAGGTTTGAGTTAACTTACTTAAAAAATAATAATAATTGAGTAAAATCAACTCAGGTTTGAGTAAAGCTACTCGTTTTTGGATAAAGTTTTGAATGACTTTATTATTGGACGAAATTAATAAGTAGATCATCAAACTTATGTAGATTTTCCTTAGGCTTTCCGAATGACATCAATAAATAATTGAAACTCGAATATATTATTTTTTTGATGTCATATTCGGAAAGCCCAGAAAAATGTACATAAGTTTGATGCTCTTTTTATCAATTTCGTCCAATGATAAAGTCACAAAATGGTGTGAGCTGCTCACAGTGAACACCCTCTGTTATTTAGTTTTTAATAAAAGAACACCCTGTTCTGTGTATTAAAACACATTGCAGATACACTTTTTAATGTTGGTACTTAAAGTTACGGCTCAAACTGATAATAAGTCCAAAATTTTCTGATGACTAGAGGGATATGGAATTTCACTCCTACCCCACACGTTGCGTCCTCGTCGGCAAAATGGTCTCAACTGGAGAGTAGGGCTCGGAATTTTTGAAATTCAAGTATTCGAATAGTCGTTTGGTATTTTATTCGAATAGCTGAATACTTCGAATAGTCGAATATTGGAATAGTCGAATAGTCGAATAGTCGAATAGTCGAATAGTCGAATAGTCGAATATTCGATTATTCGAACAGTCGAATATTCGGATAGTCGAATATTCGAATAGTGCAATAGTCGAATATTCAAATAGTCGAATATTCGAATAGTATTTTTTTTAAGTGGGCTGGAAGGTAGTACTGGTAGTAAGTAGTCATTTAAAATATTTTAATTATTGAATAATAATATTTATAATTATTATAAGGGAAAGTGTTCATGACATA